AAAGAGTATTCAAGCAGTGGGGTAGCAATTGCAAAGATCCTGAGGCAGAGGGTTTCCTCTTGTTGGCAGAATACCAAGGACATGAGTCAGAGCAATCAAGGGCAGAGAAGTATAGGAAGTGGGTCAGGATATATATCAGGTACAGCCTTGGTGTCATTTTGAGGTCTTTAGATTTTACTCAGAGTGAGATGGAAAGCTATTAGAGTGCTCTGAGGAGAAGAATGGCATTACCTGACTGACTTTAACGATATATTAGAAAGTCCATACTATCTAAGGCAATCTACAGATTCAGTGCAATTCCTTTCAAAATACTAATGGCATTTTTTCACAGAACTAGAACAAATAATCCTAAAATTTGCATGGAACTGCAAAAGACCCTGATTAGCCAAAGTGACCTTGAGAAAGAATGACAAAGCTGGAGGTGTCATTCTCCCTGATTACAAACTATATTAAAAAGCTATGGTAATATTATAAAAACAGTATGGTATGAGCACAAAAACGGACACATAGATCAATGGAACAGAGAGCCCAGAAATAAACCTGTGCACTTATGGTCAATTAATCTACAAAGGAGGCAAGAATATACAATGAGGAAAAGACTACCCCTTTAATAAATGGTGTTGGGAAAACTGGACAGCTACATGCAAAAAAATGAAACTGGACCACTTTCTCACATGATATACAAAAATAGATTCAAAATGGATTAAAGATCTGAAACTATAATACTCCTAGAAGAAAACATAGGCAGTATGCTCTTTGACACAGGTCTTAGTGTTAATTTTTTGGATCTGTCTCCTCAGGCAAGGGAAACAAAAGCAAACAAGTGGGACTACATCAAACTAAAAATCTTTTGCACATTGAAAAAAACCATCAACAAAATGAAAAGGTAGCCTACTGAATGGGAGAAGATATTTGCAAATCATATATCCAATAAGGGGTTAATATCATAATAAACAAAGAACTCATACAACTCAGTATCAAAAAGCAAACAACCTAATTAAAAAATGGGCAGAGGACTTGAAGAGGACTTCCTCTTTTCTAAGGAAGACATATTATGGCCAACAGACACATGAAAAGATGCTCTACGTCACTAATCATCAAGAAACCACAAATAAAATCCACAATAAGATACCACCTCACACCCATCAGAATGGCTATCATCAAGAAGTTAATAAATAACAAGTGTTGGCGAGGATGTGGAGAAAACAGAACCCTTGTGCACTGTTGGTGGGAATCTAATTTGGCACAGCCACTATGGAAGACAGTGTGGAAGTGCCTCAAAAAAATTAAAAATAGAACCAGCATATGATTCAGCAATTTTACTTCTGGATATTTTATTTACCTGAAGAAAACAAAAACACTAATTCTGAAATATATATGCACCTCTGTGTTCATTGTAGCATTACTTACAATAAGCAAGATATGGAAGCAACCAAAGTGACCATCAATGGATGAATGGATAAAGAAGATATGGTGTGTGTGTGTGTGTATGTGTGTGTGTGTGTATGTGTGTGTATACACACATACACACACCATATATATATGCACATATATATACATATATATACACAATGGCATATTACTCAACCATTAAATAAAAAGAAATCTTGCCATTTGCAACAACATGGATGGATCTGAAGAGTATCACACTAAGTGAAATAAGTCAGAGAAAGACAAATACCTTATGATCTCATTTGTATGTGGAATCTAAAAAACAAATGAACAAAACAGAGCAAATCAAAAACAGACTCATAGATACAGGGAACAGGATGGTTGCCAGAGGGCAGGTGGGTGATGGGTTGGGCAAAACAGGTGAAGGAGATTAGGAGGTACAAGCTTACAGTTTTAAAATAGTCATGGGGATGTAATACACAACATAAGGAGTATGGTTGATAATATTGTAGTAACTTTGTATGGAGGGGATGGTTACTAGATTTACTGCTGGCAATCATTTCCTAGTGTATTTAAATGTCCAGACACTATGTTGTATACCTGAAACTAACATAATATTGTATATTTCAAGTAAGAAAAGCTAGAGAATATTTCTAAGACTTAGGGGTAGGAATTAATTTCATGAGCAAGAAACAATAACCAAAGCTCATAAAAGAATAATAATTTTGACCATACTAAAATGCAAACCTTCTGCATAACTAAAAAATTTAGAAGTAGAAGAATCTATATGCAACACTTTAATCAACTCATATCCAGAAAAAAGTGAAGCATTTTCTAAGTTAATAAGAAAAGGCAAGTATGCTTATGGAAAAATGGACAAATAAATAAGCACTATACAAAAGATTAAACAAAAAAATTAACATATCGAAAGATACTCAGACTCACTATTGATACAGATCCCCACTCAACAATTTGATAAAATCAATAGTTCAGCAATACCAACGTAACGTTTCTTTGGCAACGTTAAGAAAAATGGAAACTCTTAACACTACTTGTTTTACAGAATATGATCATACCTAGTAAATTTGAAAATACACATATCAGCCTCTCAAAAACTCTACCTCTAGGTATAGACCCTAGAAAAAAATATTGCACGTGTACATGTAAAGACAGTCTTTGTAGGAGTATTTGAAATAGCAAATATTTGGAAACAAATGCCCATCAGTAAGATGAAGCAATGACGTGGTACACTCTTATGAAAATCTTACACTTTTGTAACAACATTGTTTGAATTTGTGTGAAGTTCAAAAGCAATCAGATGAGCATAGTTTACATCATAATAATGCAGCAATTTACAGAGAGACAGTAGTACAAATAACACATATGAAAATATATTAACAGGGATATGTTACACTTAAGTGACCATAGTTAATATCCAATAAAATATAATTTGCTTAATAAAATAACTTCTTGCTAAGTGCATATTTATGTCTATGTGTACTAATAATACACACACATATATTATGTACACATGGGTGTTCATGTATTCAGTTTTATCCTGAGAATATTGAATATATGGCTTTACTCTCATTAAAATTTTAAAGCATTTAATTTTTAAAACTTGTTTTCCCCAGAAATAAAAATAGTGTGATTTTCCCCAGTTTTATAAAGGAATTTTGGAAGCTACTGAGATGGTGTCATAAAAGAAATATTTGTTTCGTTTATATTATCTATATAAAATCATTTTTAAGTGTCATTTATATTTTGAATATTTATAAAAAATGTTTTTGTGATAGTTAAAATAATCCAGAACTCTGAATTTTCAGTAGATCAAATGTGTACATAAGTGTATAGATTAGAATTTTACATGAATATAAAAGGGTGTTGGCAAAAAAAGATGAAAGGAGAACCCTAATTTAATTCCTTATTAAGGATCTACATCAGTCCTATCAGTCTGCTCCAGAGAACTAAGTTAAGCAGTCGAAATTCCCTGTGTATCAGCAGTTTGAGTGATACAAGCTTTTAATTTTTCGATCATTTTATTATTGGCAACCTCCTATGACTCTGGACTCGAGGGAGTTTATATCAGTAAATTGTCCAAAACACCTTAAGAATAATGAACCCTTAAAGTCCACAAACTAACATACTGCTAGTGCAAAACATTCATTCTGTTACCTTGGTCCTTTCAGGCCATGACGACATGACTGAAACACAAAGAACTTATTAATTATCTAAATTTCAGAGGTTTTCAAACTGTGTTATTGTGGATTTCCTAAAAGTTTAGTGGTATACATGTGTGTCGGGCAGGGAGATGGTATTGCATGGGGCTGGTAGTGGCTTTTTCTCTTGGATGCATTACGCATCCAACAGAGGTTGGTTGGTTGGACCCATGCTGAATATATTCTGATTTTCTATGATTGCCAATAAATTGTCATTCTAATTGTAACTGGTGTATACCTTTATGTATAATGTGAAATATTATTGGTTTTGAGAGTTTATAATTCATATGCACTATGAAAGTTCTGGAATTTAAGGGCATTTAGAATTAGACCTTTAAAATCTCAAAGTTTCAGGTTATACAGTCTAAAAATTAAGGCATATTTAAATACACAAAGAGCGGTAATCTTATGTTATATAAAGAGAATAAATTGCATTTACCTCTGTGTGCGTTTGTAACTTAATCATTCTGGGACAGAACACATTGTGTTCAGACCCAGAAAAATTAATAGATTTTATTTGCATCTATTTCTACTGTTTCCTTGACAACTACTATAGATGCTGCTATCACCATGGGGATGGTTCTTCTAAATGAAGCGGCAACATCCAAAGGCGATGTTGGAAAAAGACGGAGTAAGTCTCTGTGTTGGTATTTTTCTAAGTTTGTTTTAGTCTTAAGCTTCACTTAAATCAAATGGGAAATAGATAAAAGTCCTTTGTAAATGAACTTCTAAAGAAATGTTCTGGTTTGAAGACAGTTTTGGTGTTCCTTACTTTTTTCTGTTTCTTGGATGTGTGTGTGTGGCAAATACTTAAAAAATACATTTCTTCCAAAATGGGACTGGGTGATTTTCTGTGGAACTGGATATAAAGAAGAGCTCTTATTCACCCTTGGTTGGGGAGCTCTGACGCATCTCTGCTGAAGCTGTAGTCTCTGTAGTCATGACCACCCTACAGGAAGAGGTGGAAAATTCTGTGGGCAGAGTGTTCAGAGGTTTTACTGGCTAATGATATGTTTCCCTGTGCCACAAGAATCAGGTATACATTCAAGGACTGGCTCAGAGAGAGAAGTTTGTGCATAGGTCTTGTACCCTGAAATATTATACTTCCGATTACCTCCAAAACCTCCTTTTAGCAACATTTAGAAAGGGGGCATTTCGTGATACCATTTTTTCCAGTGTCTTTGCCTTTTCTAATGATATTCCAAGATTTACAACTACCAAGTTCCAGCACTATGTCTTAACAAGGTGACTACATTTTATCCTTTGACAGAACTGTTCCTCGCAGGGAGTTGTAGAAAAAGAATACATGTTTATAAAGTAACATATTTTTGGCAGGAAAAGGGAAAAAACACATGGGAAAAATCTTCTGCCCTGAGGAGCAGAGGTTAGGAAAGGACAGACAGCCTTACATTCAGTATTTCCCACCACAGATCTTACTATAATTAATATAAAGTCCCCATGTGAGCTTACGATTATGCTTCCAGAAACCTATAATTAAGATTTTTCTCAATATGCTTTGCATTTCTGAACCCTTTTTAAAACCCAGAATGTATGTGTGAGGAACACAGGCATCTGGAAAAGACTCATAATTTATTAAGAAGTTTAAAATAAAATCCAGACTTATTTTTTTATGGGAATTTTAGTTATGGTGACATGTATGTAAATCAGTCATAGTAATTTCTAAATATAATTCTTAGGTATCTTAAATGTTGAAATGTTTTGGATGTAACAGACACTTTAGTCTACCCTGTTTTCCCATGATGCCATCTATACACTGTTAGAAAGAAACTACACAAGCGACGAACGCATTACTTTATTTAGTTAATCATTGTTCAGAACATCATTTTATGACTTATGTTTTGAATAAAGAATGTGACGTTCTTGGGACTGGCAAGTAATATTTATAAGGACAAATTCTTATGTGTTTATATATTTATCATGTATCCTTCATATTAAAATAGTAAGAAATATGTAATTTTTTAATTGCAAGTCTATAATTATATATATATAAACAATCACTCCAGCCCCCACCCACTGCCAGTTTATTTATTTGTGTGTGTGTGTGTGTGAGAGTGTGTGTGTGTGAGAGTGTGTGTGTGAGTGTGTGTGTGTGTGCATGGGGGGCGGTGAGAGACAGACAGAAGGGGTGGAGAATGGGAAATATATTTTTAAATTATCCCTTTTGATTCCAGTGTGATTTTTATTTTTGATATAATACAAGTACTGTGATTATTATTGCCCAGGTCAGAATGCGTCTGTGTCGTCATAGCATTTTCTTCTCACAAATATGTTATCTCGTATGGGCTGCAGTGGTTTGTTGGGTCATTACTGACTCCTGTCTCAGGTCCTCTCCCCCATGTGCAAGTACTTGAGTAGCATCATTTTGTTCCACTGCATAGAATCAAGTAATATACTCTGTCTTACTTGATCACATTTTGAGGCTTATTTCCCATCAAACACAATCAGATGAGGCTACCGAAAGCGGCAAAGGGAGTGAAAAAGTGTTTTACTCAGCTTCTGGAGAAAAAGACAGAGGAAAGGAAGAAGCATTTGGTAATACCAAATGTAGGAAGTAGAAAGTAAAGCATCATGTCATTAATTCTGGGTTTACTAAGATTACTGTAAGCACAGTTGCTATGTCTAGTGGCTAGTGTCTGTCATACTTGGACATTCCGCAATTTAAGGAAAAAAAGATGTTTTTCATTTCTGCGGTATTCAGCAACTGTTTTTGCTTTGCTTTCTGCCAATATTCGTTTGAAGTTCACCTTCATGAGTGTTACCTGAAATGAAATGCCACAGAGGCTGCAGCTCAACGCTATTAAGCACTTAGGACTTTTCGCAATTTGTTCTCAAAACTGAGAGAATGGTATTCCCACAGAGTTGAAAGAAAATGGACAGATTTCTAGACCATGTTTTAACAATGCCATACCTTATCTAGTCCCTGATTTCCAGGATTGTAATTAAACCTGGTCTAATTTTTATGCTAGAATAATTTTAAAATCGTATTTCATCACTATAGCAGTATATAGAACCATTTAATCTTCCTTGTTTCCTTCTGTCTTAGTGTGTTTAATCTCTTTTGTCTTCCCCTTTCTTTTATAATTAATTATATTAGATGTTTCAGTGTTTTTAAAGAATTCCCTCAAACTAACGAAAGGATACAAGTATCGCACAAATGTTTTATTCTTAAGAAACGGTTAGCTATTTCTTATTAAGAGAACTAATTTCTACTTATTTACAGAACAGATTTAAATAAATTTCTATTTCTCTAAATATACCTAGGTTTTCTTTTATTCTAAACATACCTGCATTTAATTGGCTCAGATTTTTAAGTATTTATGTTTTATTTATTTTACTAATAGCAATGTATCTTATTTAATTAAAATCCAATATATGTATCTGCATACATTTTTATTATATATATTTGATTAGTCATCTACTTTAGAGTAAAATCTTCCTAACCATAACACAAAGGAAAAGAAATTTCCCTGTTGTCAACTTGCCTTAGACAAAGTGATACTGAAAACCTAGACCACAGCCTAAGCACATTCTGCTGTAAAATACACCATGCGTTCCTTTGTAAAACAAACAAACAGTAATACCGTGAGACTATTACCAGCTATTTAGGGGGATTTTCTCCTGCTTTGACTGTCACAGAGTTCATATTTTCTCACTCCCCAAGCTTTTGTTCCTAGCCTTCAGTGCGCTGGGACGAACTGTTATTTGTAAGTAACAGGCTTTTACTGAGGCAATAATCTAGCCAATAACCTAAAATTACATTTCTCTGTAAATATTCCATGGCATCTGAAAATAAAATTATATTGCACATTCTAATAATGCAAATGTCTCTGCTAATATAGCCAGTACTTCCCAATGCAGGGGCTGATAATCTTGTTTGCTGTTTATCACATATTTTGTTGTGTTTTGTTTTGATCCCTCTGGGGGCATTTTAGTACTTGTAGGAATTCTGTAAGAGAAGAAAACCACCAGAAGACTTAGATCACTTTTGTTGTTTTCATACCCCAAATAGTACATTTTCATTAAGAAGAATGTGGAAAATAGTGATTATCTGGTTTGTTGTAGCTGTGTGTGCCATGAACTGTTACATGTAAGTATACTGTGATTAACTGAATGCATTTAAAAAATATAAACATTTGGGTTGTGTGTGTCTAGACCAATGGAGTTTTCTGTCTCTTTCTAGTCATTTGTCTGGTGGGATTAGGCCTGGTGGTCTTCTTCTTCAGTTTTCTACTTTCAATATTTCGTTCCAAGTACCACGGCTACCCTTACAGGTAATATCATTATACTAATGTGACTGTTTTCATTTTTAACTAATAGAATAAATAGAATTTCAGTGGTTTATATTTAAGGATTAATATAAAGTAGCTAACTTATTTGCCAAGTGACTTTAAACTCCGTTAAGCAAGTTTTTGAGCACCTGCCATGTGTTCCGCATAGACCATATGAGGGAGATATAAGGCATGGTTCCTGCTGCCTAGCATAACATAGTTTTATTTTAGAGATACATGTTATATGCATAAACAGATAACAAAACATATGTACATAACAGATAACAAAATGTTATGTACATAACATATGTACATAAACAGATAACAAAATGTTTTAAATTTTGTTAAAATTTTGTTTAAATTTTGTAAAATTTTGTTTAAATTTTGTAAAATTTTGTTTAAATTTTGTTATCTAACAAAATGTTTTAAATTTTGTGGAATTTATCAAAATTTCTTCTTGGTTTGCCTGTCCATCATGATTTTTACTTCATTTGCAAAATTTTTTTCTCATAAAAGCTACTGTTCAGTGTCCAATAAATTGCATCATCTTTTGAATTCTGCAAAGTTTTAGCTTTTTTTCCAATAAAAGCAAACTTGAAAGGGAAAATTAAATGATAAAATAACGTCTGGTCACTGGAAGTTGTATAATGAATATCTCCTAAGATTTTTACAAACGTATTTTCATAATTGGGATGGAAAGATGTTGAAAATTCATTCCAAAATGATGTTATTATAACCAAACTATACTTTTCACTAAAGCAAAATACAGCTGATGTGCCAGATTAGAGTTGTCCAGGTCATGAATTAGGCAGATTCATTTCTTGACCACATTCCTCCCTCAGCTTCTCTCAAAGGAATAAATATTCCACTTTCTCTTTGTCTAGGGAGTCCTTCTAATAACCCATCCTTCCCTCTAATTAATAAGTAAAGGTTCTGTATTTCCTTTCTCAGAGATTTTGAAAACTCTTTTCTGTTGAGATAGTAGAACTAATGATATATTGATAGAAAATAAAATCTCATACCTTACATCCCTTTTGCATGTGAACCGAGCAATTGTATTAAGAGAATGTTTCTACATAGGTGATGGCAGCAATGTATAGCTTTTTCTGGGACACAGAACAATTCCCGTGACAGAGATCTGATTATGGGCTTACAATGAAGAGTAAGACGCTTCAGCCCCACCTCTCTGTTTTCTCATACAGACAGAGGCACATTGCCAATCTCTTCTTCTCACACCCATTAAAAATAAATGTACTAAAGGAGTGGAAGAAATGTGAGTGTCAGATCTGAGCTGTGAGGCCATCTACCTTTAATCCTGCCTGCAGCGTAAGTGAATTTTTAAAAAACATTAGTTCTGAGGGCAAGAAGAGTAATAAGAAAGGCAATTAAAGCCTCCAATTTCTTGATTGTATTCTTGACATCGGCTGTCTAATTTTGGTTTTGAAAATGTGAAATCAGACTAATCAAATCTCAGGTTAAGTACCGCCCAGGAAAGGTGAAGTTTATGTTCTTTTTCCCCCTGCCCTACGATTGAGAATCACGGTTCTGTATGACTGGAGTCTTAGTTTGACTTGCATGTTTTCTGTTGATGGAATCTGTAGAAGAGTATTTCTATTTCTCTTAAGTATTTATTCAGGGCGTCAAAAACAGTTAAAATAACTCATTTCAACCTACAGCATTTAAAGTGTCCATGAAAGGTGTCTATTTTAATAAAACGTAAAGTATAGTAAGGGATGTTGTGCGATTCTTAAAACCTATTTAGTTGACGGTCAGAAAATAGGGGAAGGTAAAGAGCAACTTCCAGCTTTCCTTATACATCAGAGCATCAAAATCTAACAAGACTATCATCCCCTAACTAGATTTTCCTAGTCATTATATTGCTATGTTAGAACAAGTAGAGAAAAGTTGTTTTTCTCGTTCCATAGAATAATGTTACATTTGACAGCACTATTTTGTTATGATATGAAGAGTTTAAGTTTGTACTTTTTTTCCCAAGAAGTAATTGTCATTTAGTAGTATAAATCTCTAATCCTCTGATTCTTTACCAGGAGTGGACATGTAAATCACCTGGAAAGCTTTTCAAAATACATATTCCAGGCCTCACCCTAGATATTCATAGTAAGCATTTCTGAACCAGAGTATATGCTTATTTCTTTATGAGTGTGGCATCAACCATTCTTATTGTGTCACAGTCACACTCCCTTTTCAAGGGCCCACCAGGCTAAACAAGGACTGGGCTTGCTGTTAGCTGGCCTCACAGGGCTGGAAGTGGAAATGTAAGAAGTCAGATGGAAATCACACCCAAGAGTGGTTTGTGAATATGAAATTTGACATAGTTTAGATGAAAACCCCTAAAAGGAGCTGCCAAGAAACAGAATCAGAACAGAGCTCAGCAAAAAAGCCTGGGAAACCCAGTGCACTGAAAGACTGTGACATGAGGCAGGATCCTGGCTTTGGCCTCCACTCTTGCAAACTCCACTGTTTGCTGCGCTGTTGCAGGACTTAGCCATCCAGCTCTTCCACGGCCCACTTTAAATCATTTCTTAGTTTATTCATGTCTTCCCATATCACTTCAAAGCTTTCTAATATTTCTCCTCAGCCTCTTAAGAACTTCTGTTTGTATCTGCTTTTCTGCATTCTGTCTTTTCCATGGATATAGTGATGCATCGTTCATCAAGCTTCCATAAATCCTTCTAGCCCTCCTACTTCATACCTCTCCAGTCATTCATCATCAAATTCTCTTGCCTTGTCAGGTTGATAGAATAAGTTATATGTGTTCCCTTCATTACATTTACAGCATCCCTCTGAGCTAACAAAATATGGTAGAGGGGAGCATTATGAGAAAAAATACCAACTTTGCATCTGAAAAGCTTTATTCTCTTATTAGTTTAACACGTGCATATATGCCAGAGTTACTTTAGTAATGGTAGGTATTGCTTTGGGGTTTGTTTTTAATCCACTGCATCATTTTCCTTCAGAATAAGGTTTTTTCTCAGAAATTTTATCAGTTCTCTTGCGAATGATTATGATAATAAATAGATGATTAACATCAAGAGCAAGTGTTGCCAAAAGGACTGGAGAGAGTATATATACCAGAGATTTGGATAAATCCTCAGCTAAGGATTTCTAAAAACCTGGCAGTATAGTGAAAACAATTTCTGTCCAACTAGTTCACTGGAGAGAAAGCAAAGGTGATAGCAAAAGCCAGAGTGAGAGAGGGAATAAATGAAAGAAAGGACAAAAGAAATAATTCTGGGAATAGTTGAAAGATGACATGTTAATAAAAAAATAAAGAGACGATTTCCCACTGAATTATCCTATGGGAGAGGCTTGGTCAGTTATGAACATAGTACCACATTCTGAAGGAACACTTTGCATTCCCAGAAGCACGTGTCTGTGGCACCAGCATTATAGTATTTGATAAATAAAAAACAAACCAAATCTCGCTCCTATCGGATAAAAGTAGTTTGTAGGGAATGAGTAAATGAGATACTCGACACCATCATTATAGCAAGAGGAAAGGTATTCTATATTCCAGAGGTATGTCTTGGCCTGGGTACTTCTGAAAAGACATTGTGGATGCCCATCTTCAATGAGAGCTAGTGCCTAGTATAATGAATCATAAACCCTGGTGACCAAGAGCTAAATCAATCCAATCCTTTGTGCCAGTCATACATTGAAGTAGGCTTGCAAAAAAAAAAAAAAAAAACTTTCTCAACCAAGACCATTTCCTTGACTTTGAGATGAGCTGCCAGGACAAATAAACAGTTTTCTTCAAAAAGAATGGAAAAACCTCCCACTTCTACCTACTTTAGATAATACCAGTACTTTGGATAAGATGAGAGATGTCCTTTACTGAAAATGCATATTTGAACATAACACCATCTACAAACTGAAAAACACCTTTAGCCAGGGGCTTTGGCTCCAATGCCAAAGTACTCTCTTGGGTGTAATGCCCCAGCCTTCAGTAGCCTTTGATATCTGTGTTTTAGGTTTCTGAATTATAACTTTTGTACCAAGAAATGCCTCTGATGCACAGAACTATGTCCAGAATTATTTTAAAACTAATTTTTTATTTCCTCACAATTTTGAATTGTCTGATATACAACCTTTAATTTCTTCTATAAGGAATGATCTTTTTGCTTTTCATTTTCATTTTAATTTTAAACCTCACAAAACCTTAAACATTTATGCACTTCCTATTTTCTGAGTACTTCACACTGCTATTTTTTTTGTTTTGTTTTTGGTCTATATACTTGCTGAAAGGGATAAAAGTCTGTTACATGTTTACTCTATTTCGTTAAATCTTCCCCACATTTTAGTCTTAAGGGTTTTTTCCCATAGTATCAACATGTTTCATGCCATCACTAAATTCTCCTAGATCATCTTTAAGTTTCAATAAGCAAACTTCCCTCATTTAAATCCCTGATCTACCTGTTACTAGCTCAGTGACTTTGGGAAAGTTAAGTAACTTTTCTAAACCTTGGTGTTCTCATTTGTAAATGGGAAATGTTTACATACTTTGACATTTGTAAAGATTACATGATGTAAATCACTTAGCACATTGCCTGGTACTTAGTAAATGGCACATAGTATTAATTACTCAATAACTCTTTGATGCTAATTATTCTCATTAGTTCTGATATAAAGATTTTACATATTTATATTTAATTTTTCCTAAGCAGGATTTCTTTACGCTAAAGATTAAGCAACTGTTGTTTTGGGGTTTTTTGTTGTTGTTTTGAGGGGTTTTTTTTCCACTTTCTTTTTGATGTATAGTTGACGTACAATATCATATAAGTTACAGGTGTACAATATAGTGATTTACAATTATTTTTTGTCTTTTTGTTGTTGTTGTTAGGGAGTTTGGGATTGGCAACTGTTGTTTTTTATTTGCATGATTCAGTTGGGTGAAGAACAGATTTTCCCTGAACATTTTGATGAACTTAATTGGTCTCTCGAAACCCTTGAAATTATCAGTGAAATATCAAAGATTATTAAGA